TATTTTACCTCCTACTGCTGTCCATAATCCTGTTGTTGAAATATGCAAAATACCCTGAAAATGGACAGCATTTAAGGCATGTTTTGTTTTCCTGATTGTAAAGCAAACTGTTTGTAGGAATTTACAACAGGTATCTGGTTTTATTTATTACTGGGGCCTTATCAGATATGTTGTTAGAGGGGGATTAGAGACAACACAATACTTGCAATGTATATTGTAAATTCAATGAAGGGTCATTCACTTCCAGGGTTTTTCACTAAAGTGAGAATTTTAAAGTGCATTTCAATTTTAAGGCAAAAGAAGCTGAACTGTAAGCATAATTGAATTAGCTTTTGGCAATTTTTATGTTAAATTTGAAATTCAATTTAAATTCTCACCTTTAGTCAATAACCCTGTTAAAGTTTGGGAAGTGATTTTAGATGCTATTACATTGTAAGGACATTATGTACAAAATATATAATACGTTTTACCTCAAATTCCTTTTCTGGATTCACTGACACAGTCTGACCTGGTTACAAACAAATCAGAAGGTTCTACATAAACATATATAGTATTGCACATTTGCAGCCAGGTTTGGAATACACCTTATAGAACTGGAATTCCTGCACAACCCTGCCCCTTCTAAAAAGGGTCAGCCTAGAAAGTGAGATGAGTTTAAATGTGTATATAATTTCTGATGAAACCCAAATCAAATTTGCAGTGTATTGCAATTTTCTTCCCAAAGGCTCTATTGGGTCAGAAATGCTGGTACTTTGCTAGTACAGTGAGTATTAAGGTTTATATTTTTATTTATATTACTATTTTTTGTTTGTAATAAATGTCAATTTATATAAATATATAAATCTGTGTTGTTTTTTTTCATAGACGTTTTTCCTAAATTGTGTACTACACCTTAACAACTGCAATATATGACTCTTAACAAACTTAGATATATACATAAAGGCACACACTTATAGACACATTAAGACACACATTCACAGGTGCATATTTAAAATCCGAGACAGAGGCGCACACACAGACACAAGCACACACCAAAACAAGCACAAAGACATAAACAAACATAAACAAACATAGACAGATATATACAGGCACACAGAGACATACACATACAAAGAGAGATATATTAATGCACACACAGACATAGGCACACACAGAAAGGTACATGATTGTGCTCTGCTAAGGGGTGGAAAGCAGGCAGCAACCAGTTATCTCTTTAAGGGCTTGTCCTGCACTTCCAGGCACCTAATTTTATGGCAAGACAGGAGGCTTCATATTTGCTTATCTTTCTTTACTGTAACTCCCAGCAGCAAAGAAACAGTTAACAATGTTGTAAGAAAATTCAACCAATCATAACACATCATAGAACAATATAGTGCCACCAAACTCCTCCCACTCCCTCTTTCTTTGCTGCTTGCCTCCCAGGTGAGTCTATTCCAATTACATTGCCTTAATGGTTTAGGCTAATTATATATTTTATTTATATTTTGTTATACTTGCACATTTATTTCTATCTCAGCAAACCTTACTTTTGTCAATCAGCTGGCCGCAGCTCTCTCCTCAGAAGAGACGCGGCCCATCCTTGATCTATTACCAGCCGCGGACTCTACTTCCCATGAGCCCACGGCTGCTTTTTCCCGCCTTTTTTTTCCTCTCCGCCTACTCGCGTCTCCTTTCTGATGCGGTCTTTCCCGCCCTTCCAACGGCGGCAATTTTGTGACGGCTTCATTCGCGACGGCCATCTTTCAACCGCGGTGCACCTCCCCGCGGCTCCTGTCTCTTCTGACAGCATCTACGCGCTGGCAATCATCAGCTTCTGTGGGAACACCTGTTGCCTATGTTGTGGACGGTAGGTTTTACCATTACTGATTCAGCCTCATTTCATATGCGCATCTCATTAAAACGATCAGTATACTGACCTCCCCCTTATCTGTTTTTGCAGGCTTTTCCCCACACAGGACCAACCTGCTACAACCTGGGTGAACCCCTCTCCCTAAATTGAATGCTTAACATACATTGTCATTCATTAAATTTGTGTGGCTGACACCACCTTTATTCTCTGTTGTGGGTGACCCCCACCTAAATACTGATAACACTACTGTTTACCACTGCTAGCAATATTTGTGTGGCTGACACCACCTGGTTTTATTTTGTGGGTGACCCCCATCTTCTCACTGCACATATTATATGTATTATACTGGTGATTTCCACCCCCTTCTTTTTATTCTCCAGTGGGTGACCCCCACCTCATTGACTATAGTATATATTGCTTATTCTGAAATACTAAGTGGTTGACCACCACATGAAATTATTGGATGACCCTCCATTAATTGCCCTTTACACTTTATTGTGCCAGACAGTTGTGGGTGACCCCCACTGTTTTTTACGTCTCGTGTGGGTGACCCCCACCTCTCCGATATTCTGAGTTGCCTCATCTTTAATTGACAGCCCTCACTTATAGTTTTTTATATATATTGAGAAAGACATTATGTCGGACCGCCAAGACCTCGCAATTTCTGCTGAACTTAAGGAATGGCTTTTCTCCACTATCGCGGAGTCCGTTCCTAAGGCTTTGGCAGCCTGTCATGAACGAACTACTGCAGAGGTTCATCCCTCTACACACCAACTCCCACCTTTCTGACCAAGAAAGCACCCCGCGCAAAAGACCCTGGAAAGGGAATAGCGCTACTGCGGGCAAAGGCAAAGCTCCTGCAAAAGTTTATAAACACTCCCAACCATACATTATGCAGGATCCAACAGACCATCTGGAGGGTTCTACTTCTTGTTTAGCTGGCCATATTTTAAGTGATTATGACCCCAACTACTCTGATGAGGATCCCATGGTGAATGTGCCCCAGGATTCCTCAACGTCAGAGTTCGTAAAAGAAACCTTCCCGGGTCAGGATTCCAAGGGTACCCTTCCATCTAAAGTGCCTGACTCAGACACCCTCCTGGATGCCTCGGGCCTCCCCTTTTTTGACCCAAGGGTGATTCGTCACCCGCGCTCTGCAGAATGGGCCCCTCCGGACCATATTGCCAGTTTCTGCAAAATGTGGCTTCGCAAGCCCCTCGAAAAAGAAATAAGAAATGAACTGAGGGCTGGATGCCCAAGACCAGCTATTCCGGGCAAAGTTGCCTCTACCCCTGAGTTCGAGCCCATGTTTGTCACCTACTTAACTAAATCTGGCAAGGACCCTCGCAAGGGTATTGAACAGGGGTTGAAAGTGGCCCAAAACAAATTTCTTGACATTTCAGGTC